CAATTGGTCTTTCAAAACTTCATCTATAACCATAGCACTTCATTTGCGCTTTCCTGTTTTCTTTGTTGATGTTTTGTGGGCTCCCAAATCCTTGGAGTGGTTTCACTTTTACTTAATGTTATTCCAAGAAATCTGTCACTCACAGTAATAGAACTGGTCCCTTTCCTGCATACTGAATAGTGTGTGTTGCTGTATTTTTTTTCTTTCTGATAAAATGTGTTCAGAAATGTTTAACATGCAGTTATGGGATTTCAACAGAAGAATAGGGAAGACTGGTTTGTGAAGACGGGCAGTTTTATTTCCAATTATGTTATCATTATGATGTTCTGATTGTTGCAGTTGAATGGACAGTGGCATTTCAATGTCTGAATCATGCCCTAAATCCAGCCTACAAGTGGCTGCACCATTCGTTACCTTTAGTAGGAAGGTAGGGATTTGGTTTGCTCTCTTAAAGGAAGTACTCTGAAACTTCCATCAGCAGAATTATTCAGATAAATGTGTGTTAAGTTATTCAGGATGAATCATAGAATCACAGAATGGTTCGGGTTGGAAGGAAACTTAAAGATCATCCAGTTCCACCCCCTGCCATGGGCAGGGACACCCTCCACCAGCCCAGGTTGCTCAAAGCCTCATCCAGCCTGGCCTTGAACCCCTCCAGGGATGGGGCAGCCACAGCTTCTCTGGGCCACCTGGGCCAGTGTTGCAACCAGCCTCACAGTGAAAAATTTATTTCTAATGTCTAGTCTAAATCTACCCTCTTTCAGCTTATACCCATTACCCCTTGTCCTCTCACTACACTCCCTGATAAAGAGTGCCTCCCCATCTCTCCTGTAGCCCCCTTTCAGCACTGGAAGGCTGCTGTTAGGTCTCCCCAGAGCCTTCTCTTCTCCAGGCTGAACAACCCCAACTCTCTCAGCCTGTCCTCATAGGGGAGGTGCTCCAGCCTCTGACCTATTTCGTGGCTCTCCTCGGGACTCTCTCCAACAGGTCCAGGTCTTTTTTATGTTGGGGGCCCCACATCTGAACGCAGTACTCCAGGTGGAGTTTGTGAAGTCATGAAAGGATTCAGTTACGATTAAATACTGACTGCTATTTAAAGAGAGAACAATTTTTTTTTTGTGAGCATGAGATGAATGCAGGTTCTCAGCTTCATGCTGTGTCTGCAGCATCAGCCTGCACTAGCAAAGACTTGGGAAATTACAAGGACTTCAGCTGAAAATATCAGCCATTAGAAAAGTGCTAACCTTTGTGGTGAGTATCTGACTTCATTCTCAGTTCTCTGCAAACCGTGTTACACCAAATCAGAATAGTTCCGTGCCTCTTACAGGTGGTCCGGCATTTGCTGTGCTTGGGGTGGGATCCCAGGTTTTGCGCTCCCCATCTGCGAGAAGGTGGTTGAAGCATTGCAGCAGTAGCAGCAGTTTGGTGCCAGGTTGTTCACATGCTCAGGAGAAATTGTCTCACCTGTCCTTCTCCTCTAAAATTGACCAAATAGCTGCTTGGACTGTTCACAAGCCCAGGAAAAAAAAAAAAAAATCAGCTGTTTGGCAGTTGAATTTTGACAGGCTGTGATTCTCTGCATCCTCCAAAGCATGGTGTGGATGGAAGGTGCCTGAAGTCTGCTCTTTGAACCTTGCCTGTGTTTAGCTCGGTATCCTGGCCGTAGCTGTCCATTTTTTGAGCTTCAGACAAACACTTGGTAGTCAAGAATCAACAAAACACAAAAGGAAACAATTATTTGCTTAGATGAGACTGGTAATCTTTCTTTGAGGTGAGTTTCTGTTGACTTTCTAAGTGTGCTCTTTTAGAATTGCTCGGAGATACGAATAGATGAGTGAGTGAGCAAACAGTTTCCTTCAGAGCTCTAGAAGAAACTTCTGGATGTTGCTTGTTTTCCCATCTTCTTGGTTTTAGTGTCTTTTCAGCTCTTCAGTCCTCCTCTCTTCTCCTCTCCCAATGTAACGTTACACAGATTTAATGATTAATTGCAACTTCATCCCTTCTCATGCATGGAGTTGTATAACTATGCTGATTAAACACGCACATGGTAAAATTGCAAGCTAGAAAGAGCTGTCTGGGCTTGGATGACAGCAATTAAATGATTTATATTTACAGGCGTCAATATTTATCTTATGCCTACCATCTGTCCTAGCCTGTCATCTATGGTTGAGCATGTAGTTCATTGGCTTTAGTTAGCATTCTTTCCTCTGGACACTGTGTTCTTGGCTGAGGAGAGGATTGCTTTTCATAAGATTATGTAGCAAGACCATGTTCTAGCTTTTACAAACACAGTTGGTCTTTCTGTGTTCACCTGAGGATTTTTTTTTTTTTTGCTTAAGTTTCAGAAATGCAAGGTTTCAAGGTGCTGAAAGTAAATGAGTCAGTGTCTCCTCCTGCACCCAAACAGGAGCTCTTGCTAAAATTATTTAGGGTGATGCCCCTGACAAAAATACGGATGAGCCAAGTCCCAGTTTCCCCTGAGCTTCAGTCTGTTAAACAGGCACAATTTATTTTCCTTTTCTGCAGTTCTCCTTGGCTCTCGCAGGGTCAGAAGCAGCAGTAGCACCTTGGCTGTTCCCGCTTGAGTCATTTGGGATGCAAATCACTTTGGGGTGATGCCAGAGGTTCCCTTTGTGCTGGGCTTTCTATAAAACGCCTGACAGACTGTCAGCTTTGTCACATTCCCCGGGCAGCAGGGAATAGGTAGAGGCTTCAGCTTTTGATTCAGACAGAACTGGACTAGTATCGGAAGATCTTAGTCAGCTTTGCTTTGCAGATAGCGGTAAATCATGTCAAAATGCTACACTGAGTGCTTCTGACTGGTATTTTTATACTAATGTTATTCCTTGGGGCAAATAAATACCTGCTGGGGAAGCTGAGCAGAACACGGGCTGCACCCATCCCCACCTTTCTTCGCTATATGAAGAAAAAGATATGAAGAAAAGAAGTGAAGCCTAGGGAAAATATCAAGCCGTATAAATTATCTGTTCTTGACGGATCTTGCACCATCTGAGCTGCAGGGTTGTAGGGCTGCAGGGCACGTGCTGCATTTACAAACAGGATCTTGCAGGAAAGGTGGCTCTGGTCTTGTAATTAAGTGCTGGAAGCCTGGGCAGGGACTCTCTTCCCAACTGGCCAAACAGGAATCTGAGTAGATTTCCTCTAAAATGAAAGCAAGTGGTGTATTTTGACTGTTTCTGAGCTTTGCCTATTAAATGTCTCTGTTAGTTTGCATGAAATGAAACTCAGTGTGTCTCAAACTGAATTGTCTCGAGAGCTGGACTAGAGTGGACCTTGTGTGAATCTGTGGTATACTAGTGATTAAGTTGTATCCATAAATTGTGAAGGGTTTTGGTTGCTATTCAAAGCTTTTGCGTTACTGTAACACTTGTTTCAGAAATATTCAGAAGGAAACACTGAACATTCTTTTCCTACTTAGACCCATATTACTAGGACAAGGTGTGAATGGCTTTACCATTTCAATTTTCAATAAAGAAAAAGCTGAAATTTCTTGGGGAAACAATTTTGGGGCTGTTGAATATTTTTTAAATTACTGTACAAATCTTAATTTCTGAGATTATCAGCTTCGACTCTTCTGAGTAGTGCTGTCAGCACAATCCACCACACCAATGTTAGGGAACTTGCTCTGAAAACTGAGGGTAGTGACTGTAGAAGTTACTATTTGGCGTGGTGAATGGAAGGAGTAACGAGAGAATGACCTCTTTTGGATCTCCTACTTAATTCTGTGGATGGAATAACCTCTGCAAAATCAGATTTGGATTAAAAGCCTTTGAACAAAATCCTTGTGTTAAAACAGGACCTCATGTTCTCTCTTCACTGTCACCCTAGGTTCTCTGTAGCTTTAATCCTCTCTACATCCAGAGTCTCGGTGCCGGAGTCGCTCGTGTTGCACAGTTCCTCTCTGAGGGAATGTGAATTGGAGCAGGCAGATGGAGCAAACAGATGAGCAGACTTTGCAAGCATTTTGAAAATAGGTCTTGAAAGGGGTTTTAGCATAGGAAGCAAATAGAGCTGGATGAATAAGAATGGCACTTGTAAGTGGCACTCATTTTTTCTTTCTGGCTTTGGCTTTCCTATAAAGTTTGCTTTCTTTGAACTTAGATCAGAATTGCCCTGAGTTCAAGATTCTCTTTTTTTTTGTGGGGCCTCTGCTTTTAAAACACAGGTGCTCTCTCTCCTCTGCAGGTGATTTTGTTCTTTTTCGGCAGTCTTGAGGTTTAATTCTCCTATTATCCTTGTGCCAAGAATTTTCCCTTTGGGACAGGAGGTAGTCTAGAGGCAGGACACTGTGAAAACCAGATGGGCTACCCATTCAGAATGGAACTGATGAAGCTGACAGCCTCTTTGCGATCTTATCAAGCGTGTCTTTGTATGGGTGATAAAATCAGCACTCAAACTTCTGCCAAGTAATTTTTTTTTTTTTAATTTCTCTTCTACTTTGTAGTCAGCCTCATTCGCTTTACTTTCACTTCTCTCTGAAGTGATGTAGGTAGAAGTTTGGCTTTGTTGCTTCTGTGCTGGAAATGTGATTTTCAGGTGCTTGAAAGCCTTATGACCATGCAGAGCAACGTATACACAGCACTGACCGCTCTAACAATGTCACTGAACTCATCTTCTACGTGTTCTTCTGTGAGTTGCCTATTCAGGTATTCACAGCTTCAAATCTGGACTAAATGTACTTTCTAAAGCTAGTTCAGGCTGCACACAGTAATTATAATGTGGGAAGTACTGTGTAACCACCGGTAGAGATCTGTTACTATGTGTAGAGCTGCAGATAGTTTGCATGGTAATGTCCTAATTTGAAAATCTGAGTTTGAAGGACAAGCCATGAGTCGAGTGCCCAGGAGTATGTTCCTTGGCTGTAGATGGCTTACGTTAAATTCTTGAAGTTGACAAATGGCTTTGCATTTGGAAAATCTTGTGAGCAGCATGCCATGTTAATTTCAAATATAAATTAAATCTTTTTCTCTTTTTTATAGGAACTGGAGACATTGTTGCTGTCATGATTACAGAATCAAAGGTTAAAGAGATCCTGAATTATTTGGAAAAGAATATCTCTGTCCTGATGGCAATAGCAGTGGGGTCCCGTGTTCCTCCAAAAAACTTCAGTCGGGGCTCCCTAGTCTTTGTGTCAATATCATTCATTGTTTTGATGATAATTTCTTCAGCATGGTTAATATTTTACTTCATCCAAAAGATCAGGTACACAAGTGCTCGTGACAGGAATCAGGTAAGGGGATTCCTTTTTTTCTTTAAGTTCTGGAAGTGATATTTCTGTATACGGTAGTCAATAGAGAACAAGTAATTTCTAAGGAATGTCTGTCAAACTAGTGTTAGAACCTCTTTGTTCCAAGGCAGAGCATGTTCCTGGACAAGGATTTTTATATAGCAAAGAGTTTTCATCCTGAGCAGCACCAGTACAAGATCATATTATGTGACAGGAGAAAATAGACTGAAGGAAAATATTTGGGTTTTAATGAGTCCAAGAGGAAGATAGAATCTATGTTGGCTGAATAACACACACTGTATGTGTGTTGGGAATGGGGAGGAAAGTTAAATTGTGAATGAACTCGTATAGCGTAGGGGAACACAGCCCTAATGTTATGAATTCTACCCATGTTATGAAGGATAGCTTTAGTAACAGTTAAGGCAATTCAGAAGTTGTATAAAGGTATTTGCAAACTGTAGTTTGTCATGAATGTTAGAGTAAGAAAATGAAGGTACACACCTGCTTAGTGATCTGCATGGACTTCTAACATTATTACCGCTTGGTATGGACTAATTCTCCTGATCGTATATTTTAAGTAAAATTTTGTCCAACGTGCCTTTTTTACATTCTATTTCTACTCTAATTTGTTTAAGAACTGAATTAAGTATGGCCAAATTCAGAGGTCTTCAGTAAATCAAGTCATCGGCTCACATATGGATTAAACTTGAGAAGTAAATGTTTTACTAGTGTGGACTTAATGACCCACTGCCTCCATAGTGTGCCTTGGCTTTTGCTGAGAAGGGTCAGTAGACGTCAGGAAATCTGCTGTGCTCTCTTTGCCTTTGTATCTCTCTGTCAAGGCTAACTTACAAAGCTGCTGACCTCTAGTCACTGTGCCCCCTTTCCCCCTGAATTAGAACTAATACCCAGGAGCTCACTGTGAAGCAGTGCTTCGGATCTTTAAAGGTGTTTTTTGTCAAACCTAAGACAAATGTAAGCTTATAAAGTCTCAGATGGGAAAAAGGATTTCCTTTTTAGTTTCTATAAATAGTGTCTGATGCTGCAGGTCCCGTGGGCATCCTGTAGATTTTCCTAAGGATGTCATTCTTAAATGACCACACTGTAACCAGTACTTAGTGTGGTCCCTTGGGATGCTGAAAGGTTAAATATAACTGTTACTCAATGAATGTCTATGGAATACTAAATTTTGCCTACTGCATCGCCTACATGGTTCTAGGCTTCTTCCAAATGTCCGTGTTTCAAAACAGTTGCTCCATGGGGAAAGGGCTCTTATGACCTTTTTTCTTTCTTTAGATTTTTACAAAGGTCAGGAGAAACTTGATGAAAATTTTATGTGGTTTAAAAAACTGAGCTTATTAAACTTTAATAAGAAGTTGGTGACAGCTACAGCTTATTTTAAAGAGCTTTGAGAGCTTTCCCAGAGAGAAGGCTGTACTGTTTGTGGTGAAATAACTTGGTTTAGGTTATGATCTTGTTTTTAAGTTATGTCAAGGCACACTTTAGAAAAAAAATCATCAAAAACATGCTGTGTTTTGTAGATAGTGCAAGTAGATACTGCATTTCACATCAGTGCTCTTGCACATTTCCGCCAGAGGTATGAAACTCTTCTGTGTGTAGTGGTGGCCTTTCCCGTCACAACAGTTCTGGGTTTTAAAAGCAATCACATGCTGTATGACTATGCTGTAAATTATCACAATAGCAAATACTGAGCATTTCCAGTGTTAGCATAAAAAAGCATTTGTGAAAATTAGAAAATGGACAAGATGGAACTCTTACATGGAAGAGACGAAAGTTACTGTTTCAGAAATGTATTTACACAAGAGAGCATGGGTGGAGTTTGGCAGAGTTTTGCTGAAATATTATGCTTCTGATAGGAAAATAATCTTTCTTTAAGATTTTTTGTAGTGCATATGCAATCATATGCAGTACAACTCAATATAAATACTACAAAAAATTACTTAGGTGGTAGTGCTGAGCAGTTAAGTTAAATGCCTTTTCAGCCTTGTTCCTCTCTTAATAATCACTATCATTGCATAACCGAAAGTATCCACTTCAGCAGCATGCCAGTGTGTTCTGTGTCATTAAGTACTCCAGCCAATATGCTTGTTACAGGGCATGTAATTTGGATTTGCTTAAATTGTCCAATTTATCGCACGTTGAAGTTAAGATGATATTTCTGACTTCAGGAAGCATATTGTAATTTCCCCCTCCTAGCTCTGTTTCTGATGCTGCATTTCCTATGTCGGTATACTTCAGTAGTTGGGACTGAGTATCTGATTTTTTTTCAAATCATACTCTACAAAATATCAAATAAAGAGCTGTTCTACCATGAGAACCTCAAAAAGTGTACTTAGCAATTCTAGAATAACAGTGGTACAGTTAGTGATCATGACACAAATTTAGTTGTCGTGGTCTTCTGAGGGCTTTGTTTCTCAAATAAAAGCAGCCTTCTTAGTTTCAGTTTCTATGTAGAGAAAGTGTATGCTATGGGGAGGATCCACCTTATGAAGGATTTGGTTTTCAGCGATATAGGAGGTGGGCACAAGAAATGAATGCTTGTTTCAAGCTGTATTGGAGGGTTGGATAGGTGCAGTTTACATTCTCAGAAACAGCCCATCTCTTTCCAGGGCAGAGCACTTAGTGTGAGGCGGAGGTAAAGGATGAAATACATGAACTCCCCTTGTTCCAGCAAATGTCAACCCAACCCGATGTCTCAGGTTCCTGAAACAAGAAGACCTGAGCTCTGTTCCGCTCGGTGCCCTGTCTCTGAGATCCCAGGGACCAGCTGGCAAACAGCCCTTCTCGGCTGGCTGGGAGCTGGGCACTGCAGTAGGGATCAGCACTGGGATTGCAGAATGGCTCCTTCCATCCAGCAGCGGTGGTCATGAAAACAGCATCAACAAGAAAAAATAGCTTGGCCTCTGCAGTCAGATTGAGTTTCCTCTACAAACCAATATCCGTTTCAGCTTTATTTAAGTCTGTATTGGCTTATTTAGGTTTCATGACCCGTATTTTTTTTTTCTTTCTGAGATCCTAGTGGTTTCAGGTAATAGCGAGAGAAACTAGGTTACACTGAGAGGATCTCTTACGTCTCAGAATAAGATCAGTCTGCTCAGGGGGAAAAAAATAGTAATAATTCAAGCTTAAGAAGAGAACAAAGAGTCTATTACAGCACGCTGAATAAAAAGCAATATGAACAGAATATAACAGAAATCATTAGGAGGGCACGTTGCTGCAGCTTTTATCCTGCGGGCTGGATTTGGTGAGTTTTGTCACACCAGTGCTGGATCACTTTTGTGGACCTTTATACGGTCCATGAGGTCTATGCCCGTGCTTATTGAGTGCATTTGTGGGATCAACTGTTCAATGTTTTCTTCTGCCTGACAAATCTCTAACTGTGGGCTTTGCTGTGTACGCTTTTTGTCTTACATGTTGGCCTGCTGCCATAGTGTGTATTGCAGTGTTCGTGCTGAGCCCAAACAAGCCAGGATAAAGGACAGTAATGAAGCTTGATTATCAGGGTTAATTTGTGTTCTTTTCTTTGTCACTTCATTAGCGTCGTCTTGGAGATGCTGCGAAGAAAGCCATCGGTAAATTGACAACCAGGACAGTAAAGAAGGGTGATAAGGTACAAAAATAAGATTTCAACGTGGTAGACTTGAGCATCATGTTTAATTGTTGCTGGGGGATGCAATCTCAATTTTTCCTTTCTGCTTCTGATTTATGACCTTGCCTTCCTTGCTGGGAGCTTACTTTGTCCTGTGGCACAAATGTTGTGTAACTTTTAGTATCAATGTATGCTGTAAGTCTGGACATTTCAAAGAAGTTTTTCTGCTTAAATACTACTTGCACTCCATCTGGCAGCTGTGGCTGAGAGTGGTTTTGTGTGCTGGCTGACTGGGGGTTCTGCTGGTAGGAGTGCATAGGGCTAGCACTGTTTATCTGGAATTCTGTAAGCTTAGAACCATTCCATATGTCAGTTGTGGAAGGTAAAAATAAATTTAAAAGAGAGGTAATAAAGGACAATTTCTTCTGTAAAATATGAATATCCAGTAATCTGAAGGGAAGTATAAACAGGTCTTTCATTAAAGATAGTAAGTGTTACTCCAGTAATATTTCTTCCTGGTATACAAACTGAAATATATGGTGTGTTAAGTCCTAAACTTTTTCTACTTTTATGAGCAGTACTGCTTTGTCTTTGATTCTTAAAAGTAAAAATAGTCACTTAATCTTGTTTAATTTTTGCTCTTTTTTTTGCAAAAGGCAAGGGAGTTCTGGCTACGATTTTTTTTTTAAGAGAAGATTATTTCCTTAGGCCTTTTTTATTATGATTCCTTTTTATCTCTCTTATCAACACTATCAGCAGTAGAAGATAGGGAAGTGACAGTAAAATTTGCTTCCAGAGAGAAGGCAGAATAAAATGTCTTTCTGCTTTTTCTCCCTCCCTGTGTAGTTTTATCTCAAGACAGCCTACTACACTAAATCTTTTCAGTGGGTATAGGAGTACATACAGATAACAGAAACTTTTCCATATTAGAAGAAAAGATGCTGTCATATTGATAACATAAATTCAAAACTGGCAAGTGACATGTAGGTTGCAGTACAGACAGCATGGGGATATGCATGCAGGTGAACAGAGGGTGGGAGAAAAAGCATCCTTCATCAGAGCAGCCCGTGGGGATTCTCCGTGTGCAGCACTGGCTGGTGCTGACCAGGGGTGGCTGTTGTCTTGCTGTGGTTCCTGTCTCTGAGTCTTGCTAGTAGCTTGCTGGCATTGAAAAGAATAATGGACTTGAACAAAGAAAAGGCACGGTCTGTTTTTTGTCACAGGCCCAAATATTTTAAATATATATTGCTGATGCCATATCTACAACCAAATAAAGTCAGCCTTTTTTCATTAGAAATGTTACACTCATGTTTAAAAAAAAAATAATGAGAAAAAAATCGTAACTTCTGGAAAACAGAGAATAAGAGAGGAGACAGTGATCCTCATCTTCATGTCTGGATAAGAATGATGATAATACTGCAAATAAGCAGCAGGAAAAAATATGAGACTACTCTGAATTAAGTAAAAATTGCTAGTTCTGGAATTCCAGGATTCTTATCCTGCCAAAAACAAACAAAAAAAACCCTGAATAAAGTAGAAGTTTTAGCTCTAAGCCAAAGTGAAGCCTCTGGGAAAATCACCACTATATTTTACAGTGATTCAGCCAAATATTAGAGTCATTTTAGACCTCAGCCTATGTTTGAAATGATCAGTTACTAGTTACAAATGAGGGCAGAGTTTTGTACGTATGAGATGCTTTTCTTTCTCAAGTCATGTTCGAATGTAATAACCCAGTCACTGGTTTTGTATCTTCTACTAACAGCCACTTGGCACAATGCCGTTCATGTACTAGTCACAACTACTTTCACATTTGTCATAGCCTCAACTCTTGACTTGAATTTTCATTCTGTTCATTTTAGGAAACAGACCCAGACTTTGATCATTGTGCTGTCTGCATTGAGAGTTACAAGCAGAACGATGTTGTTCGCATTTTACCATGCAAGTAAGCTAGTAAAGTTGCTTTGTTTGGAAACTATTCTTTCTCTGTGCTCTTTTGCTTCATTTCATGTAATATTTACATTGTAATTCACAGACACGTTAGTTAGAGGTTCTCAATCCCAATCACAGCCACTTTAATATTTTAGACTATGATACCAGATGTGAAGGTGGGTGCTGGCACTGTTATGGCAGTAGAGATTAAACAAAAGATTATGATCTTGAAGATGGGCAGTTTGGGCATATCAGCAGTGGAGCTATTAAGCTTGTCATAATGGAGGTGGGATGTGCAGGTTTAAGGACAAAGCAGTGGGTGAGCACAAAAATTGCAAGTATAATGAACCGTGTACAGCTGCAGCATTCTGCACAGCAGATGTACAACATTGGCTTCTGGTTTCTGGAACAGTGTAGGAAATAGAAATGCAGGCTTTCCAGCCTTCATACCTCCTCTGACATCAGTCAGACACTGTGCTATCGTCTGTCTTTGGTCTCTCCAGTGCAGTGTATTTTTGGCTTGTGCCTGAAGATTTGTTCTTGCTGCATATTCTGCACTGGTGCTTAAAATGTAACAGCTTCCTCCTCCTCTTATTCCTCTTGACATTTACAGGTTTTCAGTTTGTTTCGGTTTCACTTCCATTCTTGAGTTGTTTTGGGATATTTGCTGTTTGAGAGATGCTTTTAAGTGCTTTTCCACCTGGTGATTGATTTTGATGAATCAGTACATTTTGGTAGCCCTAAGCATTACCAAGGACACCTTTCCCTTGGGTTCTGAAATGCAAATCTCTCTCCTTATCACCAGACAGAAAAAGTACATATAAATTATGTTGTATATATGCAGCCAAGGTCCAGTAATTTGGCCTGTGCTTGGTATAGAAATAGTGTTCTGCATGATACTCTACAAGCAACAAAGTCATGGTGTTGGGGTCGAGCTTCAGTCATGCAGCTGCAGCAGCACATATGAGCTCGTTATTGGTCTTCTAAACCCTCCTGCAGGCTGCTCTGAATAGCTGGAGTATTTTTCTTCTAATGCATAAAGGATTTAAATAATCGTAATAAGAAAAGAGTGTTATTTTATATATTATTGATCTAAATATATGTGCATTCTACTTCTGAAGCCAGAAGTCTAGTTCAGTTTACTTTTCTCTATGTTCTTTATCTCTTGGGCTGTTGGAAACAATGAACTGTTTAGAAACTCCCATTAAAATATTTGGGAATAGAAGAGCTTGGTCTCAGATCTGTTAAGATTTATGAGCTTTTGATCATGCAGATGTGTGTGCATTTCTTAGCTAGAATTCAGTCATTTTTACTGAAAGATGATGTCCTGTTGCCCGTAAAAATGTACTCCCAAGGGTTAAGCAAAGATTCTAGAGATTTATGTCCTATATTGTAATCTCAAGTAAAGCTTGCAGATGTGAATTAAGCCCCAGTCTTTGATTTGTTATATAGAAGATCATTTGGAAATTAGAGGAGGAACTCCTGGAAACTGCACACTGGTTTTGGACCACTAAGCTGATTTAAGAAAAAAAAAAGCCTCTTAAGAAAGCTTCACTTGTGTAGTTCAGGGTAGTACTGTGAGGCTCGAGGATGTGGAATGGAATTTCACAAGTCCTACTCCACTGTGCCTTTCTCTTTGGTACTGAACAGAGGTCAGAAGGGAGGTCCTTGACAATGGTGAGAGAATGAGCCTTCACCTGGTAGGAAAGCATCTTCTCCCACTAAGGACAATGCAAAATTGGGACTAAAAGTCAACTTCCTTACTTACACAACTGCCACATAGCAATGGCTATGTTGCTCGTATCAGCGCATGTGATCAGCCCACTTAACCAAGATTATCATTGATTATTTGTTTTTTAATTTAAAAAAAATAAATTAAGTCCATTTCCTTTGGATACCTTTTGTGAGACACATTCCTGCAGGCAGGAAGCTCCCTGCTCTCAGGGATGGTTACAGCTGCTTCAGGGAGCTGGATGGGGCACACGCACCTGGCTGCCACCTCTGCACACCCCCCGTGCAAGCTCCCTGTAAAGGGGATCGCAAGGCTTTTCTGTAGATCCTTTTCTGTTCTGGTTTTCAGAAGAATATAAGGTCAGTAAAGGCTCAGATTACATTCCTGCCGAAGGCTGTATGACAACTTTTATGTTCCCTTTCTACTTCTCTTTTTTAAATCTCACTTTTCATCTGCTGCAGTTCAGCTTTGAGGTGAGCGCAAAACCATCTTGGCTAGAGGGAAACACTGAGATTAATGCTTTCCACCAGCTGTTTTTATATTTGTAGGTGAAGGGCCAACCGGTACCTGCAGAGATGAGCCCAATAAATTTCAGGTTGCATGTCAGACTTTTCAGTCTTCAGCATCTGAAGTGCTTCTTCCCAGATCTTGTTTTGGAGGTTTAATCCCTTTCTGCTTCCCTTCAACTTCTCATTTTGGTGCAATGAGAAAGTTAGTTTAAAAAAAACCAAAAAAACCCACAGCACTCACACAAAAAAAAAAACCTACAAGAGAGTCTCTAAGACAGATGAGAAAATAAATTGCAAGAAAACCGTGGAGAAAATGTCTGGGCCAAGAGGAAGCAAATGAAAGGCTGGAAGTTTTTCTTACTGTGCCTGTTGAGGAAACTATAATCATTAGACAGTAGGAATCACTGACATGTGACATCCTTGCTGCTTTCATCAATTTAAAAGTAGTGTTTGTCTTTGGTACCACAATTCTTCTCTGCAGTTAAGTATGGTCTGTCACTCTGTGCTTCAGGATTCTGCTTTGGGCAGATACACAGCACCTAAAATTCTGTAGTGAAACACTGTATTTGTTACGTAAAGCTTTGGGGAAGGTGGGAAATGGTGGCCAATTTAAAAATAAACTAAAATGAAAATTATTGCAAACAATACAGTTGAATTTCTGTCCTTCATTTTGTGCTTCAGAGAGAGAAATTTGTTCGGTACCAGCACGCTATGGACGTACCTATAGCTTTTAGTGCCCAGAGGGGTAAGGCAGCCATCTGTCTTATTACAAGCCTGAGGAATGTCTCTGCCTTTGGTGAATATCATTGCTTAAGTTAAAAATAAGTAGTGCAAGCCAATGTCAGAAGGATTCTAGCAAAAGACAAACCTCATGGAGAATGTTTTTTATTCAGATATTTATTCTGCCATCACAACGTGGCATCTAGGAGACGAACGGGCACTGGGTGAAAAGCGATCAGGAGGGGGTAGTGTGAAGGACTAGTGAGAGATAAGGGAAGGGGAGAGCAAAGTGACGGGTTAGAGAAAAGCAGAGACAGTGACATTGGCAAGGGCAGAAAGAAGGCTTGGGAAGGAAGGGATTTACAAGGTAGGAAGAGAATTAAAGGAGCAGTGAATATGTTAAAATAAATGGCTTTTCAGACAAGTTCTTTACTCCTGTACTGGGCAAGAACGGGGAAAGAGACAAAAATGACTAAGCCATGTTTTAATCTGTTTGAGTCTGTGCTGTTGCAAATAGCTGCTTTTCCCTTTTTCTTTTTTTCTTTTTTCTTTTTTTTTTCTTTTTTTTTTTTGTTAAGAGGAAATTAACACTATCTCAACGCTATCCTTTCTGCTTACTGCAATGCCTCCCCACCACCCCTATTTTCTCTGCTAGCTGCTTGCAGGGACAGTCTCTCTTTTCCCCACCAATGCGGTGCATTTGTGGAAAGCACTTGAGGCGGCTCCCCTCCGGCATTACCTGCTGGGGGGCGAGATGTACCGCCTTCCTCCCCCCCGGAGCAGGCCAGCCATCTCTCCTGGGCTGTGCTCGCTGGGATGGGCTACACACGGGTCCTTGCTGCTTGCCAGCCTGGCTGGGAGGTTGGTACCCCAGGGCGAGGGGAGCAGCTGCTCCGGCAGTAGCCAAAGATGCTCCTTTGCAGCAGCATGTTGAGCAGGTCCCTTTGGCGGGATGCTGCGCTGAGAGCAGTGTAGTGATCTCTTGGGAAATAGCACTTGTAAACTCATTCAAACCCTTCTTGTGTGACATGAATTTGGAGCATTACACCCCTGAAAGGTATTTCTAACTCGCGTTTTCTCTGTGAAATGCCGCAAAGAAGCTGTGTTGAACAACAGAGTCGGTGTTACGGGGTTTATTACAAGCTGGAGGGCAACTGGCTTGGGTGTGCTGACAGAGTGGAAAAATACCTGCAGGTCACCTGTTTGGAGTCATGCCCGCATGGGAAACTCCTTCAGTTCTCCCAGCCTGGCTGCCAGCTGGGCTTCCTCCAGCCCCGAGGCTGGAGAAGCAGCAAAAGCTGTGTCACACTGGAGTCCTTGGTGTGTGGTTTCTGGGGGAATGTTGTCGGCCACTGTGACCTAGAGCAGCTTGCTTGGAACTCTTCAGATTTATGGTCTTGGAAAACAAGTGACAGAAATATGAAGATGTAGAAGGTTTATGTTAACAGAAAATGAAAGGGCTTACTTTGTCAGACTGAGCTTATAAAATAATTCATGTGTTTGTTATCCTCATTGCTCTATTACTGCTTTTTAACTGTTGTAAGCAGAGAAATCCAGACAGAGCCTGAGCCATGATGATGGTATCAGCAAGCTTTTAAAGTGGTAGATAAACTGCGTAAGTAGCAGGCAGAGCCATGCTGATCTGAATCAATAAATAGCCTTGGGAGAACTGCACTTTTTAGAAACACATTAATAAACATTCTTGGAGATTTAGGAACTAAAAGCAAAGAATTAAGAGGTGACAAAAATAGTTGATGTGTTTTGGTGTATTTGAACTATATCAAACTGCTAATGACTCCTTAAAATAACTCATCATATTTAGCGGATGCATGTTGACACCTGTATCAGTCGCCCGCTTCACTTGGTCTGAGTGCTTCTACAGCACTGATTACTGATAACAATACATTAAAGCTGTTTCATACTTCTGTGGAGTCTTGATGTCTGCTGTTTCCCAAAATATTAGATTTTCAGGTTTGCCCTACTCTAAAAAACAGACTTCAGAGACTTAAAAGGAAACATAAGCAACTAAATGCCATGATTTGCCTAACACAGACAAATAGCATCTTTATATGTTTCAGAAGATTTCAAACCATTTTCTATCACCCAGGATTTGTAAACATTCTTTCCTGTAGTTTTGTGAGTAATAAAGGGAATGCGTTAAGACCCAATAATGGAAGTGGGTCTGCATTTTGTGCAATTATTTGAACCATAAGCACTGTATGTATCCTGGTTTTCATGATTGCCATATTGCTAAAGGACACAGTCCAGCAAAGTGACTAGCTGAGATTCTGTAAGTTTCTATTCCTGCAATATCTGGGATACAGATGAGCCAAAGTGCTTTGGTTCCTGTCTGTCCTCTGTTGTCTATATTATACTCTGGAAATCTATGCATCCTCAGTGAGCACAGGCAGGACATGTAGTTGTAGCTGACTGGAACCTAACTGTGTTGATATACTTTAGTGCCTCTGTTAGTCTTTGCAGCTGTAGAGAAAACAATTGTACATTGTCTTTTTCCATGTTTGTTAACAAATTCATGAAGCCTTTTTTTGCTGGTCACTTTGCAGGCATTTAAAAGAGAATTATCTGGTAACATGCCTCCTTTGGTCTCTGCTTTTAAAATCCCAAGGGATAGGGAGCAAAGAAGTCCTAGACCCTAGGAGGAGCTTACTGAGGCACAGAGCAGCAAGTATAACCTGAGAAAGGAGAGGACACTGAGTTACTCAACTGTACGCTGCCTTGGGGGCATGCATGACCTCTTACAGACCGTGCTGATGCCTCAGATAGATGGCAAGAACTCCTTGTTCTGCCGCTGCTCCTTCACCTCCTGGTTTCAGAGCACAGCTCTTTGCTGGCTGTACAGCCCTTGTAGTTGCTGATCTTTGCGATGATCGACAGTCTGTCGTGTCTGGGTGTGCCTGCCCTCGCTGGCTTTTTGCTCTGCAGGCAGTACTGCTGGAAATGGAAGATCTGGGTTCTTATCGTAGGCAGTTGTTCAGACCAGGTTATTTGGAGTATTTGCTAAAGCTGTATTGTGTAGAAAGTCTAGTGATACCCATTCCTGCCATGAGTATGCTCTGAAAAGTTCTTTGCCTTTTGAAAAGCCAGGAGGACACTTCCTTTAATTCCTTTAATTTAGACATGTTGTTTTGGTCTCTGCATAGCCTGTCCTTTTTATATTGGTTTATATCAATCGCAACACTGTTACATTTATATTTGTGTGTGTGACTAAGATTTTGGATGGAATGTAGGTGGCAATTCAGGCTGTTCTCTCTTTCGGAGTTCCCTGCTGTGCAAGTAGAAGCCCAGTCTGCCTTTTCTTTGAAAGTTTCTTCTTTTTTTTATGCCTATCATATGACCATCATATGATGATGGATATGTTTTCCTTCCTGATATCAAGAAATACTGATTGTAGGAAAAGCCTTCTTTTTACTTAGATGTGATAATTATGAAAGCCTGTTCAAAATCAAACATCAGTGTGTCTAGGTTGGTTGCAGTGACTTTTCTATAAAATTGGCTGCTGCTGGATCTGTGCTCTTCCTACCCAGCTTATCTCCAAGTTCTACACAGAAATTGAGACAAGACTTAACACGAGGTTATGGTGGGCACTTTGTTACCCTAGTTATGTGCATACTC